ATATAAAGTATGAAATGTTCTTGGAGAAAAGAAACTTGGCGCGAGATGCAGTACGTGCCGAGGCGTGACTTCTCTTAGATTTTTCGTGTTTCTGCAGAGGAAGAAATGTTGCTTTCCCAATTAACGGCACGAGGCGCGTTATTTTGCGAATAACGCGGGAAAATAAAGGTCCACGCGAAACGCATTGTTGTCGTTATTGCGAGCGTTTCATCTCCATTAACAATGACACATTTCCGGCGTCATGAAACGCATCGTGCAAATATGCAACTCCACACGAGGGTGTGAACGACGTGAGAACGATAGAAAGAAAGTAGGTCTCTACCAGAGATATCGCCATTGAAATTGTTATGTTTTCGCTGAGAGAAGGGGGAGGAAATATAACAAGAAGATTTACAATGACAATGCTGTGCCATATACACACACATACACACACACACACACACACACACACACACACACACATTCACACACACATTTACACACACATTCACACACATACACATACGGCCATAAGCACAACAGAAAATCACGCTAAAGAGAATTCTCTCGAATTTCGAGTAAATTTTTTACAATGCTGGCGACATCTCGAATCACACTTATCATCGCGAACGAGAATGTTCAAGCTTTTTCCTTTCTCTCGCATTTCTTTTGAAAATTCCAGAGAAGCAGCAGAGAGAATATTCGGAATATTTCAAATTGTAAGCTTTTAAAAAAATAAAGAAGATACGTGTGCAAAAAATGACGCCAAGACGAACTGTTTACGAGAGATAGTACACAGAAAAGATTATAAGTATAAAGAGAGGAGTCTGAGTGGATTGAGCTTGAAGAAGCACGAAAGAGTTTCTTTTTCACGTGACGGCACTCTTCAATCACCTCCTCACTCCTCGCGGGCTTTCTCTCACTTTTACGCTATCGCTTCTTGTCCGATGCTATCGTTGCAATTTTTACGACGATACTTTTTCTTACGCAAATTCCCGCCAATTTTTTCTCCGGCAGGAATTTACATAGCTTTCTACATGCGTACACGGTCGGAGCGCATCCCTTTTAAATCATTGCTCAAATATTTTAAAAGCGCTCGCATTCTCGTCCCGCGTATACACGAGACTCGTGTTTATCCTCCGGGGATAATTCCAGGACGGACGGAGTCGCTTTAATCAAACCGCGGAAGATCTTAATCTAAAACTAAGGAGAGATAAATCAACCGTATGCAAAGCGCTCGTTTTAATCACAGCCAACGGCGGCTTAAGTCTGATCGCTGTTTCCGCGCGCAAATTGCCGCCTTTTTCTAACGATACGTCGCTCCGGGTTCTTTGTAATCCGCTTGTCTTCCGAATGCGGGGGGGAGCACGAAGAGACCCGACGAGCAACAATCGCCGCGATGTATAACACCGGTTTTCCGTGCTTAACTTCGTCCCTTGACTCACGGGCGGAGGGAAAATCCAAGCTGGCTCGACCCGGTAGTATATACCGGTGGGTTTACATAGGTCGTACCACCTGGTAGATACATCGCTGCTCGTCGTTTATCCGACGAGCGGAGTAAGAGTGAGAGAGGGACAGAAGGAGGGAGAGGAGAAGGAAGGAGGAGGAGGACGCGCAAGGAGAGGAAGGAACAGGAGGAGTGAATATCGCGTGGTCGCGATAGTAGCAGGTCGCGGTTAGAAAGACGAAGGCAGAGGACCAAAAAGGGCGGAGGTAGGTAGCAGAGAGGGGCGCGAGGAGGGTAGCAAAAAAGAGCCGCGGTAGAGGGTGGCGGTGGTGGCGGGCGGCGAGTGGGGTCGAAGCGGCGGTAGCTGAAGGAGGGAATGACCCCGCGTACCCGGGGTCAACCGTTGCACTATGCTCTCCGTGTCTCATAGTCATGGACGAACCTCTCGCTTGCTCGCTCGCGCTCCGATGTACGGGCTAGGCGCATCGTGTATGTACAAGGCCCGGAGGAAACCACCTGAGCACACCTGAGTCAGGTGTCTGTTTCCTGCTGTCGTGTCACATATATACGTGACGCAGGTATGCGCACCGCCGTCGACGCGATGGCGATTTATGAATACACGCGGGATGAAGATGGCGAGACGGCGGCGCCGAGCATTATTTCTCGTTATTGTCAACCGATATATCTCTGGTTCCTCCCCTCCTCGCTCCTCTCTCTCTCTTTCTCTCTCTCTCGAGTGGTCCTTTCGTCTAGATGCGAATGTCGGCTATCTCACCCGAACACTCGTCCATACGAAGTATATGGGAGAAAGTAGAGACTCGAGAGAGGAGATATTTTCATCTAGATCCACGCGTGAACAATGCATGCTAAAGGCTGCGCAACACCAGGAAGAATATATTGTAAAGTTACGCAATACCATTTTGTCCGTTGAACTTTTAAACCTGCCAGAAAAATATATTGGACGAAGAGGAGGCGGGAAGGGAGGGCATTCGAGAGAATGCGCAACTCGACATCTGAAATATCGAAATATCGGCATTTTTTAAAATTGATGATGCGGCTATTATTAGCCGGATAGCATCCTAACAATCGTCCACTTAAACGCTTTAATATCACGGACATAACGAATTATGTGCGAGCAGAATGCACATCAAAACGGACCTTTCCTTTCGCGAAGCGCCAGACATTAACTGTATCTCCACGCATAGAAGATGCATGAGGGTGATACATATAAAAATGCGCGAAATTTGTATGTATCTTCCGGCGGTTCCCTCGCTGGATTATTTCGCAACGTCAAGTCAAGTCAGATTTCAGCGTTTATTCGCGCACAACTATTCGCAGAACGGTGAGCTTCCACTTTCGAAATCGCTTTATGCGCGATCATATTTCTTGGCCGGCCGCGCCTATATTTTCCACCTAGAACAGCAGATATATCCGTGGCGATATTAAGTTATGATGGATATAACTGTCCTGCATCCATCATAAAATCAAGTTACAGTTACGTGCTATCGTATGACGTTTCGATATCGATTCCACGTAGGTACGTATGTCCGCGTTCACACACCACACACCACACACCACACACACACACACACACACACACACACACACGCGCGCGCGCGCGCGCGCGCGCGCGC